TAAAGAAAGAAGGCATATAAACAATGAGGCATTTTAATCTTCGGCTTTTAATTCCTGCTTAAATTCAAGATTATCCAGTCTTTTGTTGTTGGTCTTTGTCAATCCTCATTTTAAGTTAGAACATACTTCCGTCTTCTCTCAATACATTTATCAAGAGATTGGACCAAGCAGTAAAATGCAACAAAAATAGTCACAGAACAGTCCTAGTTGTGAACTCAAATCTTCTTAGGGAGATTCTTATCATCACTCAGATTTCAATTTATATTTTGATCTGATTCCCTATCTAATCATTAGTATTTGGAAGAGGAAGAGTTTAATTGAAATATAATGTAAGGATTTTTCTAAGTGCATAAATATCCTGTAGGTTTGCTTGTGATTATGACTGAGCCAGAAGCAGGGAGGATTTCCTTGAAGTTAAAAAGGTACAATTAATCTCCTGTTGCACTTCCAATTAGCCAAATTGCTAACCTTATTGTGAAAAGTAGAAATGCAATTGAGTTTCTGCTTGAGGCATACTAAAGGAAAACTGAAGTAATTTAATTAACTGACTTCAAGTATATTAAGAAGAATACTGCCTTTGCCTTCTTTTTCCAATGCCTCTGAGTAGATCATTGAGTAATGTGAATTTCTGTAATCACTAGACAGATACGATTATTTGGGTAAATGTGGTCTCTTTTATTAGACCAACTAATAGTTGGAAAAATTGTTCTTTGCAAGTTTGGGGGCACAAACACGCTTCTTCAGGCCTAGGGAGAGTGCCTATGCTTGACATTTACCCAAAAAACCTTGTCTTCCTATGTCCTTAGACCAACACGGCTACAACCAACACCCCTGTAATCACTAGAGGCAACAGAAAGCATTGTAGTCAACATTTAAATCCAACTGGAGAAACAGTGCACAAATATTTGGAAGGATTGATACCTGCACCGCAAACCTCAGTGGAAACCCTTACAGTCCCATGTGCTACTAATGCTGTATGAATTCACCTAAAGAATACACATGTACCCATAATAAGATGCAATATCATCATGTCACGTTGAACGTCCATATTGCTAGGAACATCAACGTCAGTATATCATGTGTTTTGTTTCACCGAATAGATTAACAGTGATAAATTCCTGTACAACATTTCTGGAGCTAAGCAGCCCTGACGAGTAATGCTTCACATCCTAACCCTGCCTCAAAAATTGGGTTGAGAATCATGTTTTTGCAGACTTGTGCTCACCCACATGGAAGGATCTGATTTTCCAGTATTGATGGATGGGCCTACCCTCACAGTCAGTCACCACAGTTCCCCCCTTTATTTAGATCAGGAAATAGGTCATAATTATGGGCTGACATCTATTGGTAAACAACAACTTTCAAGCAGTAACTACTCTATGTATACCTCGGATATCCTCCTCCTGACAAGTGCTTGAGACATACAGCCTCCCACTCCTGGTCCATTAGATTATTCTTGGTGAAGAGTTGAAACGGAAAGGTCATACTCCCCAAACCTAGTGTGTGACATCACGAGTAACAAGAAGAGATAATACAGATGATGGTGGAGTATAAGTAAGAGTAAAAGCCTTTGAAGGTTAATTGAAGGCAGATAAGACGCGGTGGTGTTTAATTGCTGCAAAAAATGTTTACTGTAATACCATGTGGTATATGACAAGATGAAAGAGATCATAAACTGAAGCATTAAAACTGAAGAACAGTTATTGCTTTTCATTTATGTACGTCTTTGAAAATGCCCCTTTGATAAACTTTTCAATGAGATCCCAGGAGGATGACAACCATGAATCAAGGACAGGATTAAAAAAAATGAGTGATTGTTTGATGGCAGATTGAAAGAAGCATTGAAAAAGGAGCAGTGTAATTGTACAAAAGTGTTTCTGTTTTATATGAGGATATCATGCTTCCTCTCACTAGTTACTAAATTAAGCCGTGTTTGCAATCAGGAACCAATACCATGTTTAGTTGTAAATCTTTGCCTAGACAAAACAGGAATCCACTTGCAATGGCACTAACCTAATGCAATTTAAAAAGGAGGGAAGAGATTCTTGATCTTGAAACAATATGCTCAGCACTCTAATGAACGTGGAAAACATTAGATATGAACTCAAACTGAAGGCCCAAACCCAAACACCTTCCCTTAGAGTCCATTTGAATTCAAACTGCTGAAATTCCTGCTATCCCAGTTCACAGGCAAGATTAAAAGGGATCTGTCTCTGAGTTCAAGTGTGGATGTGGCCAAAACCTTACAAGAAAGAGCTGATCTCATAGCATCTCCACTATGTTGGGCAGAAATATAAGAATCAATCCTTCAGCATAATAGGGTTTCAAGGAAGCTTAGCCTCAGACCCAAACTGAGTTCAGTTTGGTCTTGATCATTATAGCCTGTAGGTTTGCCAACCCTCTTGGACTGGCCAGGAGTCTACCGGAGTTGGCATCGATCTCCTGGTGACCTTTGAAAGCAATCCAGGAGATTGATATTGTGAACAGGTTGAACCATACAATTAATGACTTTACATCATGTTGGGGGGGAAAAAAAAAATCTCCCAGAATAGCTTCAGTCAGAGTTTGCTACCCTAATAACCTGGCCTAAATTTACTCCAGATCTGGATACAAACAAGCCTTCTCAGACCATATTTATTGAGAATGATTACCCCCAAGGGCTCTTCCTAGGCTCCTAATTAACATGATACTTCCAAGGTCATTTTGTTGCAAGCTAAACTAAAAACCTTGGTGAGATACGCAGCTTTTGCCGCGTAACTAGTTAAGTCTGTGGTCAGAATAGGGCTGTCCAAAAATAATATTTATACAGAACTAAAGGCATAATCATTTGTTCAGGAAAACACTGGGTGCGTTTGAGCACGCTGCTTTCCTGCAACAAGTGCGACTCCCACACATTTGCATGTAGTATATTCCTTGGAGTTTTACTGCTAGCACCCAAAGACTGTCAATCAGTTCATCTCACAGAAGGATATCTGTAAGAATCTAGTCAGGTATTCTGACTTCTGGCTAGTTCTGCTATCCTGCCTGTCTTCATTAAAGTTTCTTTATGATCCTATGGTAATATTGCAGCAATATGTTTGCCACTTTCAAGTGTCATTTGAATGTCATGTTCCAGGTGGCAACAAGCCTTGAATTTGAAAAGGGTAGTGCTTGCTTTGATGGAAAGAGCAGAGTATTAAGAAATTTGGACGTAGCCAGTTTGTGCTGATATAATAAACAGTCTTGCAACTTGTATGTTCCCCACAACTAGTGCGCACATGTGCAAGCACACTGAATTTTCCTGCAGTTATGAGGTCAATAAATAAACTAAATAAGCAGTCATGTTCCCTGACAGCCTGTGCTCATAGTTTTCATTTCCTAGTGTAAGAGTAAAACAATGGCTTTTCTCCACCTCAACAGTTTAGTGAGGCATAGTACTATATATAACTGTCCTTAACTCAAAAGAATAGATATCAAATTAAGAAGAGTGGAACAAAAATAAAAATAGTTTTATTGTACTGTAACTGAAAAGAACCTGCTATAGTATGTGTTTTAATGTGAAAAGAAATGAACTTGGGACTGTATTTTCAGTATACTACTTTTCATCTTCTCTATAATTAAATATTATTGATTAAATCACGTTATTCAAACATTATCTGTAGTAGTCTAGAACTCACAGTGTTAATGTAACAAAGCACGGAGAACGAGATAGAGTCACCCAGATATTTATAATTAGGCATCGATATAACTGGGGAAGTCAAGAGAAGTACACATTCCTTCATCCATGGATGGCATCATGAGCTGAAATTTCAGCTGTCACACCAAGTAGCCAGGAGGTGGTAAAAGGTTTCATTCAAAACAGACTGAAACATAAGACTAGACCGCACAAAAAAGAGGCTATATTATTTTCTTATTTGATTGACATGTAGGTGGTATTTCACAGCTACAGTATACTTGTGGTTTCTAGAGTGGGTAGACTAAAGCACCTGGTTGACAGCCCCGAGGTTGCAAGTTGAGACCAGAGCAGAAGGGTTTACGGCGTGGCCCTGTCAGATTCCGACAAATCTGCAAATTCTGCTCAATACCTTTTCACAGGGATGTGAGAAAGAAGGAAGCTTATTAAGCCAGTTTGCTCTGAGCTTTCAGGGGTGGCATCTACAGAGCACTTGTATCACAGGTCTGTCTTAAAAGTGGAATGAGGGAGGATGGTAGATGTGTTAGTATTAAATCAGGCAGAAAACAGTGTAGATTTGTGTGTTAAAGACTAACTATACCAGTGGTACTCAGTTTTTTGCCCATTGGGCCAGGTGAGTGTTGCTGGGTCTGTCTGTGGGCTGCATCAGACCACATGCATCAGAATCAGTCTTGCACAGCTGGACTGGGCCCATGTGACGTTGACTGGACCCCACCTGCTGGGACAGGTCCCAGCACCTCACGCCACCTCCATCCAGCCCCATGTGCTAGGATCAGAGCCATCTGGCCCCATGTGCCAGGATTAGGGCCCTGGAGCCTTACACCCACACTCCATCTGGCTCCAGGGCCCGTGCTGCACCTGCCTGGCCCTGTACTGCCCCATATGCCAGATTCAGCATGCAGGTTTGCAGCCCATGGCACTCCCTATGGACTCATGGGGAGCTCCATAGGCTGGATGATGTAATGCTGGGGCTAGGATTTGGCCTGCAGGCTGGGGGTTGAGCACCCCTAAACTAAATGATTTAAATGCTTTAGTCTATAAGGTTCAACTCTACCACCTTAAAGAAGGAATGAAATCTTGGCATGGCTACTTTTTGTGCTATGTTCCAGCTTCTTATAAACACACTTAAGATGCTTGCTCCCAGCTGTGGAAATTAGTCCCCTTTTTCTTCCTGGACACAGGCTACAGAGGAAGAGGATACGATGCTTGCTTTCATTTTCCATTATAATAATGAAATAATAGATTTGCTTAAAACGATCCTCTACTTCTAAGTTAAGTCATATTCAATGCATTGTAAAAAACAGAGCAACCCAAATTCAAACCTTACGTTGATATCTTCCAAATCTAAGAAGTTCAGGATGACTCCATTTCGCTTCCAGATAATTGGGGGTCTTAGGGCTCCGTGGATAGTGCAGGTCAATACAGTGCTCAGTCCGACTGTTACGGTGGTAACGCTGACCTTCTGGTCTTCGGGAAGAGTGAGTTGAACCACTTCTGCAAAGAGCAATGCAAAGGGAAGTAATTATCAATAACAACATTAAGTCATTATTCCCCTCCCTCCCCCCCATTGATTCTTTTGGATGATTTTAGCAACAACAAAGACATATACACAGTAAAAAAAGGATCATTTGAAGCAATAATGCAAAATAAGAGGTGGACCCATGAGTCTTCTATTGAAGCTAGATTTCCTAGGCCACACTATTCTGCTGCTGCCAGAAAGCCACAAAGAACCAGAAGTAAAAATACACATGCTGCAGTAAAAAAAAAATTATGATAATGTTATCCATATTTTTAGTAAGCTTACTTAGCAAACCTACTTTTTTATTTTCCAAGCGTAATATGGAGGCCACGGGTAAGAAAAAAATCAACATCTGCCAGATGTTACCACACATGGCATATGAGATACCACTTTTTCTCTATAATAAGAAATTAGAAGCTTTCCTATACTCCATTTAAGTTACGTATTTTATTTGATTCATAGGTACATCTACAAAAGTGCTTGAAGCTGCAGACCTTTCATAGTTCTCTAAAACCACACAAATGTCATATCATTTTCTTGGCCAATTCTTATAAAGATGTGTCTGCATATTTTGCGTGTGTGGCTGGAAAGATAGGTAAGACATTTGATGTTAGAATTACTGTTGATGCAGATAGTCATTATTAAGCATTTCAGCAACAGTGAACAGGCAGTAAGGCAATCAAGTTGCATTGTCAAAACTGCAACATTCACAATTTTATCATTTCCATGATGTTTTTTCTTGGTCCTACTCAGAAGGCTCCAGCAATAAAAAGGCCTTGAAGCTATGTCCCATTCCAATGTTCAAAACTGGACTTTCAAGGTAATAGCCTATTAAGATGAATGGGGAAAGTTCATACCTCTTTGGTGTTATATTGCTCCACTCTCTTGCTGCCAAACAAACAAGACAGCAGCACATTGATTTAGAGAGACCCTACATCAATGAATTCATGGATCTTCCATGCTTGAGGATTGCTGTTGCTTAGTAGCTGCTGCATAGTGCTAACTGAAAAGGCAGTGGCCATGAGATTTAAAATAGGATTTAAAATGAAAAAAGTGCAAATCTTGACATTATGGAAATAAAAACTTGTGCGAAAACAGTGGGAGTCTCATCATGATTAAGTAACGACAGTTATCAGAGCTGGAATTTGGTTTGGATAATAGTGCTTTCTCCTTAAACCTGTCACTTCTCTGGAGGCAATTTTCACACTCTTGAAACATTAAGTACTTTTTGCTTGTTCTGACACAGTAGGGATGCTTTAAGGGAGGTTGTTAAAATGGGCACACTATACATCCAGCATGGACCTTTCGGTTGGCAGCTGAATGGCCACAGGAAATAAAAATACCAACAATAATATTACGGCCATACATTACTGAGGTTCCTGCCAATCTGGAATTTGTAAAGGAAGACAGCAAAAGAATAGGTGCTTCACCCTCTGTGTGTCAGGGCTGATTAGCTTTTGTAAGAAAGTTTGATTAGGGAATGAATCACCAGATAATCTGATTGCATACCCTCTGCTGCCTTCAAGGCCTTTCCCTCTGTCTGCACAAATTAACTAGCTGGAGGAAGATAAAAATCAAAGCAACCTGACACTGTCTAGGCCATGCATTTTAGGAAAAAGGCCCTTTGACAAATTCCCAAGTTGCAATATAAAAAGCTGGCCTTTTAAGTCTCATGGGCATTAAATGAAATCTGATGTACAGAAGGTGGTAAGAACAAGGGATAAACTGTTGCCCGTGGACGTACTCCCTGGTGGCAGCAGCGAGGCGGTGTGGGAGTGAATCTTCCACAAATACCTGCAAAAAGAACAGACTTGAACTGAGAAGTAGTCCACCAGGAACTCCTTGTGTGGGCACTAAGACACAGAAAGGAGCAGAGAGGCAGGCAAACCTGCCTTTGGAAAGAGGAGACAATCAGCCACCTCCTCTGGAACTGCCCGTATGCCAGGGAGGTGTGGAGGAGAGTAATCTTACTCCTTATAATGGTGACAGGGGTCAAGATCCTGACCAGAGAGGTGGCATTGTTCAGGCAGCTAACCAAGCGGCAAGGGACCTGGACAGCCCACTTCAACCAGTTCATTTCCTGCTTCAGAAATGCCCTGTGGAAGACCAGGAATCTGCTTATGTATAGGCACACAAACAAGTGAGACCGAGCGAGCTGCATGGGTACTACAGGAATACAGTAGATGACAACTGGGGGGAGATGGCAGAGATCATATGAAAGAGAAGAGACTGGCACAGACTGTTCAGGAGTGGGGCCCCAGAGAAGATGACGATGACAGTGGCAAAGAGGGGGTGAGTGACGAGGACAACAGGAAAGAAGAGTGATGAAGACGATGTGGACTAAGGACTGAAAGATGCAGGGGTTTTAGGGGAGTGGGGGTAAAGGGAAAGGAGGTGTTTTTTGCGTGATCGTGATGGGTGAAAGATGGTGGCAGGCATGGGGAGGTGGGGGCACATGGTTGCAGTTATTGTAATGGGATGATAATGATGATGGTTAACTGTATAAGTGTGTTATGGACTGTCAAGTGAACCAGACTGGTTATGAGACAAAATGGTATAGTTTGTGTGTGTGTGTGTGTGTATGCGTGCGTGCGTGCGCGTGTGTGTGCGCGTGTGCGAACGTTAAAAAAAACCCATGCCTTTGGTCTGAAGAGAGTTGGACATCAATTAATCCAAGCATCCATTGTGACAGTATCAATTAATAGGTTTAAAAAACTCCATGAAGTTATGGTTTTGCTTTCCTAGATGGAATAAAGGAAAACTTTCATTCCTTTAGTGAAAGGTACAAAACTCCATTACCTCGACCAGTTCCATAGCACTGTGTTAAATGAAAAGGGAAATAACGTTCATTTTTGCAAAATTTGCATGCACGTTAACGTTTCCCATTTATTTTAATTTTCTCTCTCAGGTTTTCATTTGCACTGGCTCTTTTGGAGTAATAAATCTGTTAGGTGGTCTGACTTAGCAGGTTTTCTCTCTCTGGTGGCACTGGGGAGCCTGAAAAGATTCACTTTATGTGCACTAATCTATCAAGTGATAGAACATTTCCATGCAAAGGCCTTTCAGGTGGTCAGCCCGAAACAATCATCAACCTCCAAGCAGACAGGCAGCTCAAAAATGATGAGCTCTGCATCCTTACTGTTCATATTTCCCCCATCTAAGTACGATGTTAATGCAGCGAGCTACAAATTGTGTCCACTAGTGTAGATCTTAGGTTGATTTAGGACTGTAAAAATCAATACAACATTACATGCACTGTGTGTAAGAAATCAGCCCTTCTTCCATTTAATATTCCTAGGCCACTTTAAAAAACAGCACTAGTTGGAAAGAAACAGCGGCTATAAAAATATTCTGAGCCAAATTATTATGGTTAAGATTTTGAATTGCAGTAGTTAGTAGAAGCCTCAAATGAAATGATGGCCTTACCATACAGACACATAGGAAATAAATCCTGCCAAGTCAAAAAACTTGCCTGAGGCTACCCAGCAGGCTAGTGGCCAAGCTGGGAACAGATGGAGCAGTCCCAGTCCCATGTTCTATCCACTGGATAACACTGCCTCTCATAGCCTTCTGTCTACTAATGCAGAACTCAGGTGGTTTCCATGATGAAATCCTATTTCAGCCTCCTCCTCGCTCTGGGACTAGTCTGTTTTACCCTCCCTCTCTCTCCTACGTGTCTATCACTCTGGAGCAACCAGCTCCACCTATGTGCCTGATGACAGGTGAGAAGTCAAAACTGTCTATTGTGTTAGCACTGACCTCATGGCATGGTGCAGGGGCTGAAGCATGTAGTGATGATGCTTTTCCAATTGATTGGCCAGCATCCAATAGCACCTGCCCTGATTGGGTATGGAAGATTAGGCCAGAAAAGTTATTTAAGGGCATCTTCTTCCTGGAAGCGGGAGAGCAATTTTGGGGGACATGGAGTAAACACACGGCCTCTGGAGCACTTCTAGGCTCCAGTTAAACATGTGAGTAACTTACCTGAAACTTATTTAGAAATACAGCTTACTGTAATGTAGAAGTCTGACAAAAGGCTTCCTACCTAGCCATACTGTTTTGCTCTGGGATATTCTTTGATACTTTTCTATTCTGTACCCTTCCCTAAGCCTACCCTCTTTAACCAATAAAGCTCTCCATTGTAACAAGCATGGTGGACTTGTTGGGAGAGGGATTGGGCACGCCTTTTTTCCCCACTATGCTCAACTGGCTAAGGGAGGCTATTTTCTATGCTTCAGGCTTAAGGAAGCACCCCATGTTCTTGCAGTGGGTCAAGCACCCTCAAGGTCGACCGGGGGCATAGGGCCCAGAAACAGTCCAGACCCTTGGGTGGTGCTGGCGGTTAATCCAGGCTTGCAGGTGTGCTCCAGAAAGGGGGTCGGCCAGACATGAGGTGCCCTGGGGGAGGCACTTGGAGCTTGGTAGGCAATCGGGCACCCTCTACTGGTCCACCACAGTTTCAGTGAGCTAAGACCCCACCGTGATCTTCTGCCTTGGGTTTGTTATATTGGTTATATGCTCTACTACTGTAGCTGTTTTCTGCAGTGTTTCTTTTTATGGATATAGTATTCAGGATATACTTGACAGGATAAAGAATAGTTAATTAGTATAATGTGTAGCATGCAGTAGGGCTAATAAAGACCATCTTCCCTTGAAGAGAACTGAAATAGAGGATCATTTATTCACTAGAGAATTGGGTTTTATTTCTTATTACAGTTTCTCCTTAATCCTGTATGCTATTTCGTACACTGCCCTGAATTTTCTGGAACATTCCTAAATCCCATCAACACCCTCTTCAGCAGGAGTTTTTGAGGGCTTTGTTGCAGTAAAAATTAGATTTTTTTTTTGAAACTTATAGTTAAAGAGGCTTTAGTTTCACATTTTAAAGTACACTGATGGAAAATACATCTACTTTGAGTAAGGAATAAAATAAGATAGCTGCTGCACTATAATGAAACTCTGCCATTCCTGGAGG